GTGTGTGTGTGTGTGTGTGTGTGTATGTGTTTCCTATTTTGTTTAGTAGGTTTTCTCCAATGACCATTGATGGAATGACCAGTTTGGCTGGAATTAATATCCCTGGGCACCCAGGAACAGGGTGGTGTATTTTTGTGTACAACCTGGCTCCTGACGCAGATGAGAGTATCCTGTGGCAAATGTTTGGGCCTTTTGGAGCTGTCACCAACGTGAAGGTCATCCGTGACTTTAACACCAATAAATGCAAAGGTTTTGGATTTGTGACTATGACAAACTATGATGAGGCTGCCATGGCGATAGCTAGCCTCAATGGATACCGTCTGGGAGACAGAGTACTGCAGGTCTCCTTTAAGACAAACAAAACGCACAAAGCCTAATGAGCTCTTGTCCTCAGTCCATTTATATATGAAAACTATACAACAAAGGCAAGTTAAGAGAAACTTTATACATTAGTAAATGTCTTTGTAAGTCAGTGTTGAGATGGGGATAAAACGACTACTTAGCATCCTAAGAAATATGTGAGATTTTTTATTGCTAGTATTTGAATTAAAACTTCTTAAATATCTTTTATGTTTGAATATGGACAAGAGGTACAGGGTTTTTACCTGTCACATTGCATTCTATTGCCTTCTTTGAAGAAGGTGGACCTTTTAAAGTGTTTCAGCTAAGGGAAGACATTTCTTTTCTTTTTACATAACTGCCTTGAACCTGTGAGTAAATATTGAGGCTTTGTGTTGTAATTCTTCAGTTGGTTGTGTCTTTTTTTTCCCCCTTTTATTTCTTTTTCTGATTAGCTTTGTGTTTGGTTTACATTTAAAGCATTGCTGTTATGTCTAAGAAAAGTATTTTGAAGTTTACATTTTTATTTATGAAGTTAAAAACAGTATTTATTTTGTAATTATGATTTGGGTTGGGGAAGGGGGGGGCTACATTATAAACGCTTATTGTAAGAATACTGGAGAACTTTTCGTAAAGCAGTACCTTGCCAAAGAGATAAGAGCCTCTTTGATGTGGGTTTAAAAAAAGCATCTATTTTTATAAAAAAGAAAATTTGGAGAAACTTTTTACTGGTCCTGGAACAAATATTTTGACTTGAATACTTTGAGAAATCTCTTCATATGACACCTAGTGAGCTTTTAAAATTTACCAGGAAATTTGCAGCGGTTGGAAAATTTAGAAAGATTTATGATGTAGAAAATACTACTTTTGAGATCTTTGTATGAAAGGAGTAGAATCAATGGGGGAAACACTGCTGGTTTCGTTTTTGTAATCACCAGTGGAGTGTCTGATCATCCTGGTTATTATGTGATAGGTGGCTCACATTGATTTGTGATTTTGAAACAAATAAAAAAAATTTACAAAAGAATATATAAGAGCAGGCAAGAAATTTAAATTACCAAGAGATGGGGGAAAAAAAAATCTGTTCTTCCTAAAGAAATCCCTTCAGATAGAGCTCATGGTGTTTAGTGATGTACTTGCAGTATTGTTTGAAGAATTGTTTTGTCTTAAGGAAAAAAAGATGTTGCACATGATTTGTACTGCAGCAAATCGGCAAAAGTGATCTGAGTTGGATATATTTGAAGGTATTTTGAAAGTTATGTTCAAGGCTAACACCTGAGCTTTGTGTAATGTAAATAAGACCTTGTGTTTATGAACCTTTCAGCTAATTTGATTTTTTTTTTTCCCTTACATGCCAAGTGATGTTCAGGTTTTGAATGTTTTTGTATCAGTTTTTTCCTTTGTAAATGGCATTAACATTGTTACTTGAGGTCTTGCTTAATCACTTTTGTTGTCCTGAGGACTTGAATTTACAGTGCATCAGATTTGTTGCTAATTTTGTCTGTAGATAGTCTAGCTTCAGCTGTTTATGGTGATGCTACATTTTCGTTTATAAATATGTTTGTGGTAAAAAAAAAAAAATGAGTATAACCATAGGTTTTGAACAAATTTCCTTACATTTTTCATACAAAAATCATAAATATCTGTATGCTACTGAAATTTAACTTTGTATGATGCTTAAACCACTATTTGGGGAAATAATAAAATAAGTCTTTACCATGTATGAAAGAAATTTTAAAAAATACAAAATATTTTCTGATTAGCATCTAGCTTATAATAAATTTTCAAAAAAGCTGAAGGCAAAAATGCCTTCATCAGGATGCACTGAGAACTATATAGTTACGTCCTGCTTTTTGTATAAACTGAGATGCTCACATGCTTCCCCTTAGAACAGGCAATGTGCTATGCATAACATAGTTGTACATTATCTTTGCGGTTGCGTTGAGTTTTTTTTATTATTTAAAATTGTAGTTATAAAATTTTTCAGTATAGTACAGTACATATACTGTGAGGCGCGTGCTAAAGTGAATAAGCGAGTTTTCATGCTGACCCACTCAATGCTATTCAGAAATCAATTGGCTTAGCACTTTCTCATATCCTTAGGTGCATTTAGATTGTCAGAGTTAACCTGCGTTTAAAAAAAAAACTAAAAAAACAAAATACATGTATATACTTAAAAAAAAAAATAAGGTTTCCCTCATGGGAAAACAGCAGCTACATGCTTCTTTCCTAAACTACTGTAGCAAACCAAGGCATTGATGAGAGGGCATGCAAATTGTGCTTCACTTTACAGTGTTTATCAGAGCACTTAATAAAATGTAAGGCTGGTATTTATTTGAAGTTGTACAGTATGACTTAATTCACATCTGTTGGAATAGAAAATATATTCTGTTGAGTATTTAAGAGGCTGTACATGTTTTCTTTTGTGTTTGGATTCTTTGTACTTTTTCATGTTCAGTACATCAATAAACAAAGTTGAAGGGAAAGAACAGTGTGGTGAGTAGGTCTTTATACACATTTTGGGGGCTCCTGTGCTCAGGCTAATAAACTTACCCTCTTGAGTTAAGAGGTTCTCTCAGAGCTTTAGTTGAAAGCTGTGTTATCTAAAGTAAGAATTCCAGAAGCATGTTAATTTGAAGTAGAATGTGCAAAAAATTTTTTTTGAATGACATTTCTAATAGTTAGCTTTCAAATATTACTTAATGAGTAATTTTTATAGGAATACGTGCTTTCATCTGCTAGTTGTAAAGTTTGGGTAATTGGATGCTGACGTCATTCTATTGCTCTGATTTAATAATCAACTTTTTTTTTTTTTTTAAACGGGAATTGTCTTCACACATTTACTTGAGCGAAAGAAAAACCAAAGAGAAGGAAGATAACTTATTCTGCTTCTGCCAGCAAGGTTTAATTCACTCGTGGGATTAACTGCTGGTGTGTGAGATTTATTTTTGTTGCCCAAGTGCCAGATTGTCAAGAGACTCTTCTCTGAAATCAGAAACTCCGTTTTCATTCGGTTAAGGCTGATGTGGGTAGCACGTGTCCATGTCAGGAACTGTGCCAATCCTGTGTTGCATATACATGTTCAGTTCTCATTACACATCCTTACCAGATCTGTGGAGGAAGGAAAATACTTCTTGCTGATCCTTTATGCGAAGATTCTACTTGTATAGAACTTAAGAAAATTTGATATAGTGAAGTACTTTTTTTTCTTTTTTTTTTCTTACAGGGTATACTAAATGGTTTTTTAAAATTTGTATCTGTCAGTTTTTTTTTTTTTGTAAAAAGCCATTCTAAAAGTAATTGTCCTGAATTCACAACTTAGTAGTCAAGAGAGTAGCTGAGTGACAATTCTTTTTCTTCTAACATGCAATTAATCTCAAATCTCCATACCCCCTTCTTTATTATATGAATTTAATACTCTAATTTTGTGTGATCAGAACATCCTCCCCTCACCTCTCTCCTCTTGCACGCTTACCCGTATTTTGACTGGTTTGCATGTCAGCAGTTCTTTTATATTTGAGCAGATAGTGGAAAAATTCTCAGGAAAGGAGGTTGGTGAGACTACTGGTATATTTGAGAGTTTTGTTTTTTTTTTTTTTTCCTTAGAATCCTTTCTCCTCTCACACTTGCAAATCATCCTAGAGTATTGCAATTCTGTGTTAGGGTTGCCAACATAAATTTTTTAATCTTAACATCATTTTATGTTATTTTAATCTGATTTGAGTAGAAGTGTTAGCAATTTAGCCTTTCTGTTTAAAAAAAAAAAAAAAAAAGACTAAGCGTCCTACCCTTACTTTATAAGAGGTTCAAAAATGTAGTGGAAGCTTATAACATCCTACTCAGAGGGTTACCTAGAAATAAGAAAATGCATATATTTTAACAGTAAGTATGTTGAAATTTTAATATACTTCCAAAACAGTATGCATATACTTTTTGTCAGGAGAAGATACATTTAAGAGGCATTGGTTTTGATCCTTTGTATCTGTTACCATATCAGAACCTCAAACAGAAGAAAACAGAAGTATTGCTAAAATTGTAACGATTATTGTTGGAAGAGCATTTATAGCTTCAGTCATTGCAGTGAATGGTTCATTTTTCTCTACTATTCTTTGTAGTCTTTCTCTGAAAATTCCCAGAAGTGGGCTCAATTCCCTTTAAGTTGGAAGGATTAAAACATCTATACCATTAATTCAGGCAGCTTGTTGAATATAGGGTCACTGAAATTAACCTCTCCAGAATTCTGCTTTATAGAAATAAACAGAAGCTATTCGGGCTGTTCAACACAGGTTTATTGGTGATCTGTGTACTGTGCGTTGTGTCCCAAGCCTATAAAAATGAGCACGATGCGGCTCTTACCTTCTTGGAAACTGTCACCCAGAAGGGAGGGCAGATAAGCCACAAGGCCAGGACCACAATGTCGTTAAGTGCTGTGAGAGCCCAGAGCAGTTTCAAGCTAACTTGGTGTAGTTTTTACAAGCCCAGTTACAACTTGCAAAAGTGAACCTGCTTTCCCCTTCTTGTGGATCTGGCTTTTCCTTTCTTGGATTTGATTATTAACTCATTTGTGTAGTTTTTAATCTGACATTAGTGTCATTTAGTGAATCTTGAAGTGCTGTCATATGCATTAAGTTGCCCATATCCTTTCTGAAGCAAAATAAGTTATAGACAATAATAATACAATAGTTGGGTTAATGGAAGAATTTGGCCAGATGTTCTTGCCCTCTGTAAACATATAATAAAGGGGTGACAATTTACAAAGCACTAATATGGTAAAATACCCTGAATATCAAAAGTATGCCAACTGGCATTATTCTACTTTGAATTAAGACATGCCACAATCTTAGGGTCTCAAATTCAATATTAACATTACTTTTAGTTTAAGTAACTAAAGATGCAGGTTAAGATGTAGTAGTTAATATAACCCCAGAAATACTTAACGGATGTTATGGTTTTGTTTTTTTTTTTTTTTAAGATTTTTTATTTATTTATTTGAGAGAAAGAATGAGATAGAGCGAGCATGAGAGGGGGGAGGGTCAGAGGGAGAAGCAGACCCCCTGCCGAGCAGGGAGCCCGATGCGGGACTCGATCCCGGGACTCCAGGATCATGACCTGAGCCAAAGGCAGTCACTTAACCAACTGAGCCACCCAGGCGCCCTGTTATGTTTTCAAATACCTTATAGCAACCAAGCATGAACCCCCACAGCGTACAGTGTCTCGAAGGGACAGACAGTAGGGTTTGGTGAAATAAGCTTCTCTGTTCTCACACAGTCTGTCTTGTGCTCAAGAAGATTTGTCCACATCTACAAGTAACTATACAGTAGAAAGAAGATCAAGAGTGGAGTGCTGTGCACAAAGTACATTAAAAAGAAAAGGAGGAAGGGAGTGGTGTGTGTGTGTGTGTGTGTGTGTGTGTGTGTGTGTTGGAAGGGTAATTTGAGTGGGAATGGGAAGCCACACGGTGGTAGCAATTGAGCTGGGGCATTAAGTGGGATTTGAAAGAGATTGGGGGAGGGAAGTCAATGAGAGAACATTGATCAAAGGCATGTGGGTAAGCTTCTGTCTACTTGTAGTATTTTCTGGGCAATTAAGTCCTTCGATATAGATCTTTGAGTTTGTTAAACATTTTTATGTCTGTGACTAGTTAAATCTCAGATGAGTCAGAAATCTGAGTCCATAATGAAATACAAAGTATCTAAACATCAAAACTTTGTTCTTGCTCCTTTGCCCATATTTCTACTGTAACAGGAAAAATACCTGCTATGATAGGTAATATGTGATTTTTGGAGCTGCTAGGCAGGACAGTGCCTTCTTTTAAGGGAGATGTTTATTTGGAGCATTTGTTCAGTGTACGCAAAACAAAAGCAAAAACCCCCACAAAATCTCCCCAGTAATCACCCCAGAACCCTGGACCAATCCATTTCTCAGTGTGTATACCTTTTCAGACTCCATGATTTTAGATGGTAAAGTGATCCTTCTATAGTGTTTATACTATTTCTAGGGCCATAGTACCCATTTGACCCTTAACGTTGGACTGCAGTTTATATTTTTCTTAACCCACATTGCTCAAGATTACATTCCTAGAAGACGAGGGGAACATTGTAAAACCCAGATGTTCCTCAGATATTTCCAAGATGAGGTTTTAGTTTGACAGCTTTTTACCTTTCTGGGGTTTTTTGGAAGCTCAGTTAATAGCCACACCTTCCCTTTCCATGAAGAACCACAGGAAAGAAAGGCAGACCATTGAAGTGGCCCTTCAAGGGGGGAAGGGCTTGTTTGCTCATTCTGCAGGCCCCTCGGACCTACAGATTATGGCCAGCCACGTGGCGTCTCTAACTCTGATTTTCACTGTGCACTCCTTCCGAGAATCTTCCCTGGACAGTTTCAGAAGCCACCAGCCCCACCGTGGACTTCCTTGCAGATTTGAAGAAACTGGCAACCCCCTTCTGAGGGACCCACCCTTTGGAATGAAGTGCAGTTGGCAAGGTAGCTTTATTCTGTGGATTGCACTGCAGATGCGACAAAGGTGAAGTGACTGTGGTGAGACCGGGGAAGGGAAGGTGGTGACCCATGATACAGGTGATCGGGCTTCCAAAAGAGGCAAAGCTTTTATTTGTTGGATGTGGAAGGAAAAGCAGCTAGTTGGGAAGTACCCTTAAGCACCTCGTTGAAAGTAAACCCCCCATATGTTCCCAATCTTTTCCTTTCTCAAAAAAAAAAAGGTTTTGTGAAGTTGCCAGTTTTAATAATTGCAAGAAATAATGCAGGTTTTCACACCAAAATATTCCCTAGTTACTATCAAAAAGGATAAGTAGCTGTTGCTAAAAATGTTCAAGCCACACATTGCAGTTGCTACTGTATTACTTAAATATTCCTTAGCAGAATTTCATCTTTTGAGAATGGTTGCTGTTGCGTGTTCTCCATATGTACCCAAATATATGTTGAGAGGATTCTGGTTTTCAGAGTTACTCTTAGAGAAGTGCCTGTTGTACACCCATAATTGTGTGAGGAAAGTCCCTTTCAAAGCTTCTTAAGTAAATGGCTCCTCATGCTCTATTTTCAGATTCAACGGATTGAGTATCAGATGATAAAGACCCACATGCTGTCTTTCTTAATGAAGGGCAGTGAGAACTTTAATAAGCTGACCATGAACTTCTCCAAATAAAGATATTTTTGTGTGTGTAATAGTAGTATACTTAAAAAGTTGTGCTCCACAAACGGTTTTGTATGATGGGCTATAGTCCTGAGGAGATCAGTAGCTTGACACCCCTGTTAGCCCTTTGTGACGTGGTTGGGATGCTCTGTTTTAAATTTTTTTTTTTTTTTAAACTTCTCTTCTGGTAATTCTTTCATTAAATATACATTGAGCACCTGCTCTGTACCAGTCGCTATGCTATGCTTCTGGGCTTTACATTTAATTTATGTCTAGTTTTTCTCCGGTTTTGAGCCGGAAGACACTTCAGGGGTCTTGTTCAACAGATGTGTGAGT